GGCGTGTGGGCAGGGGAGGCCCAGGCTGGCCTGACAGCACTGTCACCCCCTGCAGGAGTACCTGGAGGTGCAGAGGCAGCTGGCTATCCAGCGCCTGCAGGAGCAGGAGAAGGAACGGCAGATGCGCCTGGAGCAGCAGAAGCAGACCGTCCAGATGCGCGCCCAGATGCCTGCCTTCCCCTTGCCTTATGCCCAGGCATGTATTGCCCACCCCATCCTGCCCCATGAGACCCAAAGACACGCCTTTTAACTGTTGGCTCTTTTTCATCTCTAGCTCCAGGCTATGCCCACAGCTGGGGGTGTTCTCTACCAGCCCTCAGGCCCAACCAGCTTTCCTGGCACCTTCAGCCCAGCAGGCTCAGTCGAGGGCTCCCCAATGCATGGTGTGTATATGAGCCAGGCAGCCCCAGCCACTGGCCCCTACCCCAGCATGCCTGGGACCACAGCAGGTAACCTTGCCAGTTTACAAAAGGTCATGAGAATAATGCAGAACATTTTCCGAGTTCTCTAAGTGACTGTTTTTCTAAAATTGTTTTTTTCTGTCCATATGGAAACATGTTTATACACACACAACTTCCTTCTTGAGCTCTTTGGGGTGAGGAGCAGGTGAAGGCCCTTTACCCATAATGCATTTCCTAAAATCAGGATGTGCTTCACAGACGGGAGACACTGGCTCACAGAGGTTATTATCACAGGCTGCCCTAGTAAAGACACTCTCAGCCAGCCTGGCCCACTGTTTTCTAAGCATTGCCCATTCGTTTGGTGCTAGACAGGAGCACTGTGCTATAGGTGAAGGTGCCTTCAAGTTCAGCTTGTCTGGTGTTGCCACCTGCTTGTGGCGTGGCGTGGCGTACACCTTTAGAAAGGCCTGGGATGGAGCTTTGACATGTGGGGTACACTGTGTTTCTTGGTCGCATCACTGCTGTTTGGCCAACGTGGGCTTAGCAGGTAGCTCGTCTGTTTCTGTTGTCCACAGGTGTCATTTTAGATAAAACCTTGAGACTGCAAATGCCTTGGTGCTGAGTTTTGCTTGAACTTCTGTATTTCTTTTACCATACTCCTTCCTCTGCCCTTGTCATCTATGTAGCTGTGGACTTAGGAACATTTTGTTCAGAGGGGAACTAATCCTTTACGGCTATTGAATTATTTATACAACATTCTGTCTGCACAACAGATCTTACTATAGATGGCTGGGAATTGAACTCAGGACCTTTTGGAAGAACAGCGAGTGTTCTTCCAACCATCTTTCCAGCCCCTGTTTTTTTTTTAAGTTTTTTGAGACAGAGTTTCTCTGTATATCCCTGGCTGTCCTGGACTCACTCCATAGACCAGGCTGGCCTCAAATTGAGAGCTCCACCTGCCTCTGTCTCCAAAGTGCTGGCATTGAAAGCATGTGCCACCACCTCCCAGCAATTTTTTTTTTTGGGGGGGGATATATATATATATATCTTAAGTGTGTCCATATACCACATGTGTGCTGGGATTTGCCCACAGAGGGCAGAAGAGGCTCTGGATGCCCTGGAACCAGAGTCTCAGAATGTGAGCAACCATATGGGTTCCGGGAGTCTAATTTACGTCCTCTGCAAGAGCAAAAAGAGCTGTTAACTACTGAGATCTCTCTCTAGCCCCTGAGGTTTTTTGTTTGTTTGTTTAACGATTATTTTATTTGTTTATCTTCTGAGACAGGGTCTCACTATGTAGCCCTGGCTGTCCTCAGACTCATAGAGATACAGTTGTTTCTACCTCCTGTGTGTGGGAATTAAAGGTTTGTAGCACCATGCCTGGCCAAGTTTTGATCTTTTTAAATCATGTGTCTTTGTGTCTGTATGGCAGTCAGAGGCAAGAAGAGGTAGCTGGATCCCTTGGAGCTGTAGTTCACAGGTGATTGTGAGCTCCCTAATACGGGAACTGAGCTCTGATCTTGAGTCTTCTAGAAGAGGAATGTGCTCTCATAACTGCTGAGCCATCTCTGTCTCTGTTGCTTTTAATACTGAAGTTGTCGCTGGTGTGACCCATGTGAGCCTGACAGTCCTTGTGTAACCTTGACTAGTGTCGCCTTTCGATTAGATTAGCTTGGTCCTCTGCTTGGTTTGTGCATTCTTTGGTTCCCTGGGACCCTGCTTCTCTCTGTGTGGACAGCCATGAGAAGGCAGAGTCTGAGGCTACAGTTGGTGGTGTGCGCCTATGATCCCAACACTTGAGAGGTTGAGCACCCCAAGGCCAAGACCTGTGTGTCCCAAGCAGACAGTTAATCTTGGGCTCTTGGGGTGTGTTTATAGTTTCGAGGTCACGGAGGAGCTTGGAGAGAGAGAGAGAGAGAGAGAGAGAGAGAGAGAGAGAGTGTGTGTGTGTGTGTGTGTGTGTGTGTGTGTGTGGAGTGCAAGCTAAGTTCACTCCAGTGTTCAGTGTGGCTGTCCTTCGCTGTCCCTGGTGTAGCTCCTCATTTCTGTCACAGTCTTCCGAAATGTTGGCCTGGACTACTGTAGGAGAGGGCTGTTTGTCTCCGTTTCTGAAACTCCCAGTTATGCGCCTCAGCAGTCACTGGTGCCAGCTCTCCCTCACTTCTCCCTCACGTTGACTACCACTTGTTTCCGAATGGTTGAGTGGTGGGGTGTCGCTCAGGCAGAGCCTTGCCTAGGATGTACAGGACTCTGGGTTCAACCCCTAGCACTGTGAAAACAAACAAAAATAATTTGGTTCACTTTTTTTTTTTTCCTGCTTTCATTTTTTTAAGGCCCTAACCCCACCCTCTTGTTGGCTTTGCCTTCCTTTTATGAGAATGTGAAGCATGCACTTGGTTCTGAGAGTCACAACAAAAGGAGCCCCCCCCCCCCCCCGAAAGGGCATTGTCTTCCCACTCTGTTCTGTTTGAGCTGAGCCAGCTCATCTTTCTTGTCACAGATCCCAGCATGGTCAGCGCCTACATGTACCCAGCAGGTGCCCCTGGGGTACAGGCAGCCCCTCAGGCCCAGGCTGGGCCCACTACGAGCCCTGCCTATTCCTCCTACCAGCCCACTCCAACCCCAGGCTACCAGGTATGTGGCCAAGGTCGCCCCGTCTCACCTGCACCCAGCCCTCTCCATTCCCTCACATCACCCTCCTTCTTCCATAGAATGTGGCTTCTCAGGCCCCGCAGAGCCTCCCGGCCATCTCCCAGCCTCCACAGACCAGCACCATAGGCTACATGGGCAGCCAGCCACTGTCCATGGGCTATCAGCCGTACAGTATGCAGGTAAAGAGGCCGGTTCTGCTGGGTGTATGGGGTAGTGTGGGACCGCTCCTCCTGGGCTGTCCCTCTGCTTTCTTCCAGCCAGAAGGGTCTGTGTCTGTCTGGTCACAGACCACTCAGTGTTGGCCTCCATCTTTCTTCCCACAGAATCTCATGACCACCCTTCCAGGCCAGGATGCATCTCTGCCAGCCCAGCAGCCCTACATCGCAGGGCAGCAGCCCATGTACCAGCAGGTGAGCCATCTCCAGGCCGCCTGCCTGGCACTGGGACTCTTGGGCTTCCTCTGCTCCCTTGCACTGGGCTTATCCTGGGGACTTTGCAGAGAGAATGACGACAAGCCATTTAAACCACACACACATCCACCCGTCCATGTGCGCACGTAGAGGACAGGTTACAGGATCCTCATGAGTGCTCACTGGCAGTGTTGGTAACAACGGGGTTTCTGCTCTGTGCCAAGATGAAGCTTGTTTTAAAGAAAGCTTTGGTTTGTGAAAAGAGGAGTGATGAGGCCTGTCCACCTTCCTCTCCAGATGGCACCCTCCGCTGGCCCTCCCCAGCAGCAGCCCCCTGTGGCCCAGCCACCGCCTACGCAGGGGCCGCCAGCACAGGGCAGTGAAGCCCAGCTCATCTCATTCGACTGACCCTGAGTCCAGCACTCACCATCCAGAGTTAACACTACGGCTCAGCAGAAACCATCATGTGTCTAACTAGCCATCTCCTCCCGTTACCACCCTGTGGTGTCCCTTCTGTGAGCAAGGGGGTGGGCCCCCATGGGCCCCCACCCTTGGCCCTCTTCCCTGTCCTCAGTGGTCTGGCTCCTGTCACTGGTTCCCTGCTTTGGTACTAATGCGGTCTGACTTTTCGCAGGGCAGGTAGGACCTTGTTGGAGAGCGCCCAGCTCTGCACTGGGGCCTGCCCCAGCTGCCTGCTGTGGGGGTGCTTAGCCTGCCCCAGAGAGCCGATGGGAACTGACTGTGGTGTCCAGGCGTGGCCCTGGTACCTGGAAAGAACCACTTGGTTCCTGCACAGCAAGGATAGAAGCTTCAGGCATCTCTAGCTTCCCTACCCCTCAGCTGTCATCTCTCCAGTGAAGAACAGTGACAATAAAATGTAATTAAAAACTCTTCGTGAGTGTTTGATGGGGCAACAGGCTCAGTGTTGGACCAGAGTGTTAGGTATTTTGCACTGTCAGTAGTGGGCATCAGTTCTGGAGTTTGGGGGTGCTGGTTGAGAACCTTGAACTGTTCGAGTCTCCTTTCTGGGTGGGGGGGGACTCATCTGGCGCAGGAGATCATTACCAAGCGGCTGTGAAAGGGTGCAAAATGGGCTTACCCGTTACTCCCTAATGCGTCCCAGCCCCGCTGAAGGTTTCAGTTGTAATTCTCTCAGCTTGGAAAGTACATGTCAACCTGACTTCCGGTGAGGCGTTCAGGTTTCGTTTAGCTAAGCACCTGCCATGGTGTGTCCTCAAAGCTTGGGGAGCAGGCAACCAAGGTGACAGTTGTGCCTAGTAAGAGTTCTGCAGGTCAGGGGAAGGGGTCCCTGACAGATCGCTCCCTTCGCTGAGGCCCATAGCACTAGCCTCCTCGGGGTTGCTAATCTCTTGGACAACTAAGTTGAATTCAAGGGTCTGCGGCGAGCTCCGTAGGTAGCCGGGGTGTGTGTGAGGGCGTTGCTTATCGGGCCGGCGACACAAAGGCTTGCCCAAGGCGGAGGTACCGCCTGCCCGTTACGGCTTCCAGTCCGGAGTGCGCTTGCGCGTCGCACCGCTTAGTGCGTAATCTCGGGAGCCAACCCGGGTTAGAGCGGCTCCGCTCCGAAGCCTGGAGGCCGGGCGGCTAGAGCGGCCGGTCCGACTCGCCTGCTCCGGGCCAGAGCGTCGCTTCCGCAAAGAGCCGCGTGTGACCTTCCCGCCTGCGGAGCTATGCTGCCGGCGGCCGCCAGCCGCCTGTGGGTCCCCGGGCTTGGACTGCGGGGAGCAGCCCTCCGCCTTGCCAGGTACGGTGGGGGCTCTACGGCGCCGCTGCCGGGGCGCCGGGCTGGAGCCGGGTCGGACGGGAGGGCGGGCGCGTGCGTGGCCGCCTTCCGCGGCCCAGTCGGCGGGGCGAGGAGAGGGCGGCTCGGCCAGGGCGACCTTGGGCGCAGACACCTTTCGTCCCCAGCTTCCCAGCCCGAGACCCGAGGCTGTGGACGGCAGCGTAGCCCGAGGCCGCCACTTCGGACTGCTTGACGCGGCACAGCCTGCCCGTTAGGCTGGTGTATTTCATTCAACGAAGCCTGCCGTTTCGGACAGGACTATGGCGTAACCGTGTGCGATCCTGAGGCCCTTCGGGAAATGTAGGGCGGCTTTCTCAGGTCCCTCGGCCCCTGCTCGCCGATTCTGGCCCCAGCGGTGGCGGACTGAGCGCATGGACCATTGTGCCTTCGGTTCTCCGTGTCTCCCGTTTTCTGACTGGCTGTTTGCATGGGGTAGGCAACAGGTGCCCGGTGTCTGTGCCGCGCGGCAGTTGAGGAGCAGCAGTCACCGAAGGAGCGAAGCGCTCGCCGGTGCACCTCTAGATAATGCTCCCAAAGAGTATCCCCCCAAGATCCAGCAGCTGGTGGAAGACATTGCCAGCCTCACGCTCCTGGAGATCTCAGACCTCAACGAACTCCTAAAGGTATTGGGAGAAATCCACACAGACCAGGACTAAGGTCCCTGTCTTTTGCTTGTATTGTGCCAACCAAGGGTCAGAGGTCCCTGTCTCTTCTGGGTGTGCTTTGGGAGTTTGATAAATTGTTAAATGTGCTTTCCTAGATGGCGGTACCAAAGAGGCTTTTACCTCCATTAGTAAGTACACCTGGGAGGGGACAGCCAGCCACTGAGACTTCTCTCGTGTCCTGCAGAAAACATTGAAGATCCAGGATGTTGGCCTCATGCCAATGGGTGGCATGGCGCAGAGTGCCTTCCCTGCCGCTGCAGCCGCCCCTGAGGTGAGTGGGCACAGGGAGACCCGCTTCTGTCGCTTCTGTGTGCCCATGTAACTGCTGGCCTCACCCTGGGGAGCCCTTGTTCCTGCTTGGGTCTGAGGCATAAACTCCGCTCCCTAAGCCTTTCCTCCACCCTCTGTGCCATGCTGGTGGGTGGACTTCATTCCACATAGGAGGAGGCACAGTGGCCCAGAGAGGAAGGGCCACATCCAGCAGCCCTATACCATAAGTATTGTGGAAAGTCGGGAGGGACAGAGATGTGCGGTGCCTGCCTCCCGGGCCAGGCGCTGGTTTGGATTGGCAGGGAGTCGAGAAGCGGCTCAGGTTGAGCGGAGCCTGGAGTTCCAAGGAGGGCTTCCACGAGGTGCAAGTGTTGTACTTGAAGGTGTTGAGGAAGAGAAGGCCAAGCATTTCTCAGAGTTCTAGCTGACAATAGGGTTTTCAACAGCACTTAAAGTCTGGGCAGGGGCTGGGCAGGGGAGCATACACCTTTAACCCGACACTTGGGAGATGGAGGTAGGCACGTGTCTGAGTTCTGGACCATCCAGGACTACAGTGAAACCCTATGTTAAGTGCTGCTTATGGTCAGGTGGAACTTTTGTTCTGTTTTAGAGATTTATTTTTATTCATGTCTGTGTGCGTGTGAGAGTGCGCCGCATGTATGTGGGTGCATAGACACAGAGCTCAGAAGAGGGAGCTGGATCCCCGGGAGCTGGACTTGAAGGCTGTAGTGACCAGCCTGATGGGTACTGGGAACTGAACTCAGGTTCCTCTGAAAGAACAGCATGTACTCTTACCCTCTGAGCCATTCCTCTAGCCCATATTTGAAGCAATGGTAGAATTTATTGCCTAAGCTGGAGTGATTTTGAAAAAGATCATACCGTACCAGAAAGTAGGCCCAGTCCACCTGTGCTCCAGATGGTGGGGCTCAGAACTGGGCCCACGATGTCTGCGCCTCAGCTCAGGGGTACCAGGGACCCACCTGTCCTGAGTTATCTTGCAGGAGTGGGGCGTAAAATACTTGTCATTGGAGTCAAGCTAGGTGGCACACGCCTTTAAACCCCAGTACTCTGGAGGCAGAGGCAGGGGATCTCTGTTGGTTTGAGGGCAGTCTGGTCTACGGAGTGAGTCCCAGGGCAGCCGGAGCTGTTACACAGAGAAACCCTGACCCAAATGAAACAAAACATGTCATTTATTGGTTATTGACACGTAGGCATGGTTGGCAGAGGACTGAGATAGCCCGATTTTTCTATAACAGTTGATTATCTACAAAGCATTTGTTCTTCCTGTCTCATAAGTTACAGTTGCTTGTTCCCTGTGGGTTCCCGTGTTCAGGTACCATTTATCTTGTTGGGTTGGGTTTGGGGGGGGGGTGTTTTGGATTTTTTTTGAGGCTTTAACCCTGGCTGTCCTGGACTCACTTTGTAGACCAGGCTGGCCTTGAACTCACAGAGATCCACTGCCTCTGCTTCCTAGGGTTCTGGGATTACGGGCGTGTACCGCCTTGCCCAGCTCTACTTACATTGTTTTGAGACATGGTCTCTCACTTGGCTTGGAACCTGCTAATGCTAGATAGGCTGGCTGCCCAGTGAGCCCTTGGGGGTTCCCTTGTCTACCTCACAGGCACAAGCTGCCTGGCCTGGTTTCTTCTCACATGGGCTCCAAGGACCCAACACAGGGCAAACAATCGACTGACTTCTCTACCCAGCCCCATGAGTTACAGTTTTTAAGAGAGGTAAAATGAGCTAGGCACATCTTTAATCCTAACACTGGAGGTAGGGGCAGGCAGTTCACTGAATTTGAGACCAATCTAGTCTACACAGAGAAACTGTCTCAAAAATGGGTATGGGTTGGGGTAGGCAATAAAAAGAGGTATAAGTAGTGAGGGGGTGGTTCTGTTTCCTGTAGAGAAGTAGAAGCCAGTCTGGTACAGGGGGTCCTGCCTAGCATGGGTTTGCAGAGAGTAAGCTCAGATTCTCCTTCGATCTTACGCAGGTCCTGGTGGATCGGCCTTACCCCACCCTACCTCATCTTATCTTTGTTTTCCACATCCTAAGGCGGCTGAGGAAGACATACCTAAGCAGAAGGAACGGACACACTTCACCGTCCGCCTGACAGAAGCAAAACCTGTGGACAAAGTGAAGCTGATCAAGGAAATCAAGAACTGTATCCAGGGCATAAACCTTGTCCAGGTGGGACCCCTTCCTCACAGCCTTCACCTGTGATGATGCTCAAAGTGCCTTTCTTGGTTGGATGTTTTAAGTACACTACGTTTCTAACTGCTGTCTCATTTTAGGCCAAGAAGCTGGTGGAGTCCCTGCCCCAGGAAATCAAAGCAAATGTTGCCAAAGCTGAGGCTGAAAAGATCAAAGCCACCTTGGAAGCAGTGGGCGGCACTGTGGTTCTGGAGTGATAGCCCGGTTGTGAGGACTTGTGGACTGGGGTTCCTGGGATCTGGGCACAGACCTGCTCACCCCTGCTCCTCCCAGGGGGTGTGTTGGGAGCAACAGCTACTGACACAAGTGACCGCGTTCTCCTGGAGAGAGGGACAGGACGGACCTACTGTGATGGGAGGGACAGTCACAGCCTTTGCAGAGCTCAAGAGATTGCCTTGGGAACTTAACAAGCGAACACACCCCTTGGTGACTACTGAGAAAATATACTATTCAGGCTGGGTGTGTGCGCTGAGTGGTGTGTGTGCCCGGGGCCAGTAGTATAAAGGTGAGCTAGAGGTGCACGCGTGTGTGTGTCCCAGACCTTCCCCGTGCTCTATGCCCCTGCTGCTCCCCGTGTTGCCAGTGCTTGGGGGTCTGCAGCCATCATCACGTCCACTGTTTGGGGCCTGTCCTCTGCTACCACATAGCAGCCTCTGTCTACACAGACACAGCATGGTACAGAGGGAGGGTTTGGCCAGGGCTGTGTCTTGAGGCTTGGATGGTGAACTTCCATTTAGGTGCTTGGAAGGTTGGTTTGTTTCTTGAGACAGGGCTACTGTCTGTCCTGGAACTTGCTCTGCAGACCAGGCCTGCCTCTGCCTCCTGAGTGCTGAGATTAAGGCTTCTGCCACCACTGCCCAGCATATACCTGACATTACAAAAGTAACAAAGTGTGACGCTGGCCCAACCCACCAAGACAGTCGTGGGTCCGGCACGGCCCCATCTGGGGTGGCCAGGGACTAGCTGTTAGGCAAAAAAGGTTGTCTATGAAGGCCGAGTACACTTCACCCTCAAGGTGGGAGTTCTCGGGGCTCACAGGGCTGGGCCAGGTGACAGAGGGGCCTTGTGCTTGCAGGACTTGGAGCAGGTCATCCCAAGGTGGCGTGTGCAGTAGTTCCTTTTGTTCCTACAACTCTGAGCAGAGCTGGGAGAGGAATGGAAGGCTTGTCTTTACCAGAGCCCAAATCCCCTGTAGTGACTACTGGCCCTGGTTCCCTCTGGAAGAACTATTGCAGTTCTTCTGAGAGACCAGAAGAGGGCAACTTGCTTTGCAATGTTTGCTTTGTGAGGACTGCCTGAGGCCTGGCTGGCCTGCCCATTCCACAGAACCTGCAGCTTCCTGGCGGAACTGCTGGACCTGCCATGAGGGTTGCTAATGACCACACTGTTCTGGTTAATGATTCCCAGCAGCACTTTGGGGCTGTCTCCACAAAGGTGGCTGCCAGGAGGCCTAGATATGACCTGCCAGATCCTGCTGGACAGGCACTGAGCAAACTCAAAACCCCAGGTTGGACCTGGCCTGTAGCCTGAAAAGTTTTTCTCTGCTCTGGGCGCCATCATGGGTAGTGATACCAGGCCCATGACTTCTGAACTTTGAGAAAGATGTCCAAAGGTGGGGGCAACCTTGACCCCTGGCCACCAAGTTAGTCTCATGCCCGTGACAGAATGTTTTTCTGACCGCGCACTTAGGAATCTGAGGGTGGCTGTGGCATGGCGTGCCAGTTGCTGCTAAAGCACTTAGCTGTGTGTGAGCTCTGAGCCCCTTCCCAAGCATTGCAAAGCAACTGTCGAGGGCCTTGTCGCTAAGGTACCTCCCCAAGTCAGGCTGTCTCGGTGCTCCTCTACCTGTTAGAGATTGCTGTGGCCTAGATAACAGCATGTACTCCGTTTCCCAACAATCTGATGCCAGCCTGAGCCAGAGTGAGGCCCTATCTCAAAGCTAAAACCTTAGCCCCCGGTCCTGATCTACAGTTCCCAGGGCGGCTGTTTTCGACATGAACCTTGTAAGTTTTCTCCCACGGGGCTTGGGTCTTCTGGCCAGCCCACTTAAAGGGTGGACCACATCCATTCAGACAAAAGGATTACACCAAATCAAACTAGACAGGTGTGGACAAAGCCGTGTTCGTGTGCAGTGTTAGAGCCTGGGCGGCTTGGAGAAGGCCCTTCCACTGTTTCTGAGCTTACTGTGAGGATGAGGCCCACAAAAGTACCCTAACCCTTGATCCTGTAGCCCATGGTCCTGCCACACAGCTTTGACAGTGCTTCTGGTGTTCTATATACAAAAGTGTCTTCTTCCTGAGCACCGGCCAGCCATACGACTTCTTTGCTGTGCCTGGCACTTCCTGTCCAGTGCTGCTCGGCTCCTGGGTACGGCTGGTCTGTGTCAGCAAGGTCACCTGAGACCCAGGGCAGCCTGGTCTCACCAACCAGGCAGGCAGCTCTTCCTTTCCCCAGCCCAGAGCAGCTGACCTGGGTCATCATGGATGTTGGCTTGTCCCACAGTACACAAGTTGTCTGTGCCTGCTGGGAGAGGAATGGGTCCAGCGAGGAGGCTCACCCTACCTCCTAGGCTTCTTCCTCCAGAGTAGTGTGGGGAGAAATGCCAGGAGAGCATTTCATGTGACCCTGCTACTATGACAGCATCTCAGCGTAGACCACCTGGAGTCCCGGAAGACAGCATACTTCCTCCCTCCCTCCCTGGCTTGAAGCTGGCTCTGGTTGGCACTGCCGGATGTTCAGCAGGGTCAGTCAGGGGCCTAGAGCTGTTTGCCAGGCATATCTTGCCTTTCTCTTTTGCATCAGATAGAGGTCAAGCCAGAGCTGCAGGACACGTGTCTTTGCTTTTTAAATGTGCACTGGTGTTCTCTGTGCGCTCCTGTCTGTGTGGGGGTGTTGGATCCCCCGGCCTCCGCTTCGGGCTGCTTCCGCTTCAGTGGTTGCTGTGTGGGGATCAGCACACCCTAGGGGAGCTAGTAGACCCTGCATTCAAAGGGCTCTGCCCAAGAAGACTGGCCGACTCAGCGCAAGAAACAAACGAGACATGCGGTTTTGTGGGGTTTGGATTTCTTTGCGGGTTGGGAAGTGGAGATGGGCTTCTCTGTGACCATGCAGATTGGAGCTGCCCCCTTGGAGCCCGGGCCAGCAAGCCATGAAGGATCCACAGCCCAGAACCTTCTCCATGGTGGCTGCCCAGGACTGTCCACAGCAAGGCTCAAGCTGGGCTGCGCTTGGCAGGGACTCATTGGGTGTAGGCATGGGGGAGGAGCACCTTGTACTAAGAGCCTTTTGTCCCTGCGTTCTATTTAATTTGCGAGCTGGCCTCAAGGTTTCCATCCCCCCTCTACATCTGGGCGGGGGCTGGGCCCTCGAGGGGGATGGGGGACAGCGGGCCAGTGCTGCAGTGCGCGTTCATCGCCGGGGTAACACGAACTCAGCACAAGGGCGCAAGTTCGGGCTCTCGTTAGAGGGTGCTGGCAGGAAACCAGGCTCGCGATGAACGGACAATGGCCGAGCAACTTCGGATCTGCGACCCAAGCCATAACCTGGGCAATGGAGGTGGTCACGGGCTAGCTCTAGGAGTTTCCCGGTCGTCTCTGGCCAGCCAAGGGCCTCGGCTCCTAGCCGCGACCGCTTTAAGAAGAGAGGCGGGGTCTCCCAAGGCCGGAGTCCCACGGCGGGCGGAGTCCACCAGGCCCCGCCTCTGGGGCCGCGCGGGCGCATTGGCTGCACGGGGCGCGGGCGCTCGGTGGCACTTTGAACGAGGCGTGAAGCGGCTGGAACCGGAGTTACGGTGCTGACCGGGGTCCGGCCAGGTCGCTGCCGCCCTGACCATGGCCGAGGCACGCGTGTCTCGCTGGTACTTTGGGGGGCTGGCTTCCTGCGGGGCCGCCTGCTGCACGCACCCGCTAGACCTGCTCAAGGTGAGGCGAGTTTCAAGGCCCGGCGCCCGCGAGAGCGCTAGGCGCCGGGGACCGTCCCGGGCCTGGCGCGTACAGGGCGCTCACCGCGGCCGATGCCTGACTGCGCACCCGGCAATTACAGCCGGCGACGCCCACGCCGGCCTGAGCCCGGCCGCCCTGCTGTGCGCTGCTGGCCCTGGGCCTGCGGCCGCCCCTACGCTGACTTCCCATTAGGCAGCGGTGGAAAATCCCCGGGGACCCCCTGCGGATGGCGTCCGCAGGTGACCGACAACCAAGCCTCAGAGGGGACATCCCCGCTCGTCGGCTTACCTGCTCGTCCCTCCCAGTGTTAACAGATGGCTGTCCAGCCTCAGCTCTGCGCTTTAATACCCGTGTGAATCTGCTGCTCGGAGCCATGCCTTGGCCGCAAACACTCTGGTTAGAAGTTGTGCGGAGAGTTAGAGTGGGTACAGGTGTTGAGACCTGAAGAGCAGCCTGGTCGCGGCCCACCTGATCACTCCTGCCTGCCGGGTGCTCAGCACCACCTTCCTTGCGCGGTGGAGATGTGAGGCTAGGTAGTCGGTGGTGTGACCTCGGGCATGCGCTTCGGGCTGCTTCCGCTTGAGTGTGGGAATCAGCACACCCTGGGTGAGCTAGGGGACCCTGCGTCCAAAGGGTTCTGCCAAGAAGACTGGCCGACTCAGCGCAAGAAACAAATGAGACACGCGGTTTTGTGGGGTTTAGGTCTTGCGTTTTTCTTTAAAGATGAATTCGGTGGTAGCGCACACCTCTAATCCCAGCACTTGTGAGGCACAGGCAGGCAGATCTCTGAATTCGAGGCCAGCCTGGTCTACAAATCGAGTCCAGGACAGCCAAGGCTACCCAGAGAAACCCTTGTTTTTCCTTTAAAAAATTGCTTATAGGGCAGACTAAGACAGCACTCTTCCTGTTCCCCAGGGCCAGTCCTGGCCAGGCCTGATTCTGCGTTAGCACAGAGAACAAAGCGCTCACCCACTCTACCCAGTAGCTCTGACTGCTACTACAGGGTGGCTTGTGGACAGAGCATTCACGCTGGCCGCCACCTCCCTCAACCCCCACGCTGGATTGTCCCCGAGGTCTGAGCTGGTGATCTAGCCTCGGGCAGGTTCTGCCACTTCAAGCTTTTGCTGGGTACCACGGGGACTGAAACCCGCTTGTCCTGGCAGTGGCCTAACAGGCCCGATCCCCAGGCCCTGCCTCCGGCAGTGCTGTAAGGCAAAGGTACTTACTGTTCGGGAGGGCCTGCTTGGGGGTCTTCACTGAGTGTGCCTGCAGCCCTCTCCATCATGAGGGTCAGGCTAGATGGCTAACCTGGACGTGGGCCCTCGGACCTCCCAGCCACCTTGCTCCCAGCCAGTCCTCTTGAGTGTTGGCTGCCCATGAGGTAAAGGCTCCTGGTGGTTGCTCACTGTCCAGGTTCCTTTTGGGTTTCAGTGCTGCTCGGCCCCACCGCCACACAGAGGTTTTCTCGGTGCCTAAGGATCAAGAAAGGCTGCTGTGGTAGCATGGACACCCTTGGACCCATGCCAGCAGACAGTGCCCAGCCACAGGACAGACAGTGGCCAGGGCACTCCAGTGAAGTCTGCTCACGGAGACCATTTGATTTTGTTTTAATAAGACAGGCTTTTCCTGTACCTCAGACTGGCATCAAACTCATGATCCTCCTGCCTCAGTGACCTGAGTGTTAGGGTCACATGCCTGAACTGCTATGCCAGCTTTGAAAACTTGTTTTGAAGTTGCTTGGTGTGTCCACTTTGCCCTGGTGTGGTCCTGGCATGCACAGGGACCGTTGCCCTCATAGCCCCGTTCCGTGGTTGGGCCTTGGCCTCTGGCCTTGGCCCACAGACTGAGGATGGCACCCCTGTTGCTGAGTACCAGGCCCCTCTGGCCTTGCCATCTCAGCTGTTTCCCTGTCCCCTCTTTTGCATAAGTGTACTTGGGGGCCGCCTTTGGTCATGGACCAGCTTCTTTGGGGTCAGGACAAGGGCTGATACAGGAATGCTCACGACCAAAGATCCTGAGCCTGAACTCAGGTCACCAGGGCCCAGGTGGGGGAGGGGTGTGTAGGAGTGAGGCAAGGTCCTGAGGGGCAGTAATTGCCACTCCTATAAAGTAAAACACCGTTACAGGCTGAGGAAGAGGCACACCCCACCAGCCTTGGGAACCCCTGTCTTAGTCCTCTCACCTCAGGGGTAAGAGGTGCTGATAGCACAGGGCCCACGGAGTACAGACCTGGAAATGATTGGTTCTGGTGGTTGCCTCAGTAGAGCTTTCGTGCAGGCCCAGGTCTCAGCCTACTGCAGCCTAGTCTCCACCAGCTGCGGCCGGGGCAGAGCTCTGCTGTGCAAGCTCTTACCCCACCTGCCCTGCCCTCCCACAGGTGCATCTGCAGACCCAACAGGAGGTGAAGCTGCGCATGACTGGAATGGCCCTGCGGGTGGTGCAAACCGACGGCGTCCTGGCGCTCTACAATGGCCTGAGCGCCTCGCTGTGCAGGCAGGTATGTGCACGGCTCGTGGCGCCTGACCTGGAGCCTTTCTTTCTCCCTTGTTGACATCAGGTTCTCGGGTCCTGGGGGCCAGTCCTTACAAAGGAGCCTTAGGGAGCTCCAGCTGCTTTCCCTTCCCCTTCAGATTAGCACAGATGAGACACAGGGCGGTACAGGGCAGGGGTCAGCCTTCCACTTCAGGTGGGAAAACCCGGGCTGAGGAGAGCCAGGAGCAGCCTCTGGGTTTGTGAATAGGCTTGGCTGCTTGTGAACTCAGTGGCCTTAGCGTGGCCCGCTGGGTGTTCCCACGGTCACGGGATTGGGCTGGGTGAAGGGCCCAGTACTCTGAGCCGGGCCCCCTCCCCAGATGACCTACTCCCTGACTCGGTTCGCCATCTACGAGACCATGCGGGACTACCTGACCAAGGACTGCCAGGGGCCTCTCCCCTTCCACCACAAGGTGTTGCTGGGCGGCATCAGCGGTGAGCACTGGGAGGTCAGGGCGTGGCCGGGCCAAGACCCAGGACTCAGGAACCATCACGTGTTGGCCCTGGCATTCTTGTCACCGCAGGTTTGACTGGAGGCTTCGTGGGGACCCCAGCAGATTTGGTCAATGTCAGGTTTGTACGAGCCTCTCAGCCAAAGTCAAGGGCTTGCCTGTTCCCCAAGCAGGCAAGCCTTTGCCCAGGTTACTCCTGAGCTCTGCAGGACACTCAGCCTGGGTCTGTGGAGGAGCTGGGTCCCACATGTGCCTCCCCTGACGCGGGTGGGACCCCAGCCAGCTGCCCTGGGCCCTGGGAGCTAATGTTTTTTCAACAGGGCACCCACCCCTGCCTGTCCTGCCGTTTCAGGATGCAGAATGACATGAAGCTGCCCCTGAGCCAGCGACGAAAGTGAGTAGGCAGGGGCTCTGGCCAGGTGGGGGACAGTAGAAGTGAGAGACCAGGCCAGAGAGGGCCCCGGAAACTCTGCTGCGGCCTAACGAGGATCTGCCATTGCTCGTGGGTCACATGGAGTAGGTAGCTGGTGGCTTTAGAAAGGTCGCCGCGTACAGTCGCCCTGTGGGAGGGAAGAGCCTCGAGAGGCCGAGGGCTGAGTGCCCACACCTGCCTTCGGGAACCAGGACTGTCGTGTAGGCTGCTCTTTGGAGTTGAGGATAGCGCTAGTGCTCCTCAGGTATCTTCGGGCAAGGTGTCAAAGCCCATGGGGTAGGGCACAGGGGAGGAGCCGCCAGCCAGGAGGCCTGGGAAAGGCCAGCCCCGCACAGCGTGGGGCTTCGGGGTCAGCGACCTCTCCAGCAGCCACATGCCTTTCCCAGCAGGCCTAGCATCCACTCCTATCACAGTCAGAGCCAGCGGTCTCCCATTTTCCTTCACCTTAGGGAGTCCAGGCTGCTTCTAGTCTCCCTCCCCCGGTTGCTCAGGCTGTCCATGATTGAACGCCAGATCCTCCTGGTCCCATTCTGTAGCACAGGCTGGCCCTGAACTCATGCTTCAGCCTGAGTGCCTGCCAGGCCTGCCTAGGTTCTGATTGGCTTCCCCTTGGATCCTCCAGCCAAGAGGGCAAATGACGATCCTGTGTGCTGGGAGGCATTCCTGAGTATTCCCGTTGGGGGGAGTGTATATTCCCCTTTGTGAAACCCATCCAGGAGCCTGGTGCCCCGAGATGGGGGTGGGGCTTTTTCTGGGGTCTCGGGCAGAGCAGATGGCTGTGCTGAACCTCACTGACCCAGCTTTGCTACCAACAGCTACTCTCATGCCCTGGATGGTCTGTACCGTGTGGCCCGTGAAGGTAAGAGGACCGTTACTTTATTGTAAATGCGGAAAACCACGTGCAGTGCTAGGGTGGCCTGCCAGCGGGACTGTGACGTCTCCTCTCCCTTCCTCCTGCAGAAGGCCTGAAGAAGCTCTTCTCTGGAGCAACCATGGCGTCCAGCCGCGGGGCCCTCGTCACGGTGGGCCAGGTGCGCTTCCCATGCAGGTGGCTCTGGTGGACAACATCTGTTGCTTCTGCCCTCTAGCCCCAGGAATCACAGCGTAGCAGTGAGCGCTGGGGACGGGCAGACAGGTGGGGTCAGCAGCAGACCCTCACCTGCATGTCCAGGTGTGATGGAGGCAACAGCAGCTGTTTTCACGGTGGACCCTGTCCACTCTCCTTGGACCTGGGGGTTCTCTTTAGCCATAACTGTCCCTGTTCCCACATGCAGCTGTCCTGCTATGACCAGGCCAAGCAGCTGGTCCTCAGCACTGGGTACCTGTCTGACAACATTTTCACTCACTTTGTCTCCAGTTTCATTGCGGTAAGTGCTCCAGCTGGTGGGGGGGAGGGGTGGCAGGGCTTAGTTCAAGGAGCAGGCGGAGATGATTGCTGTGCCCCCTGTCCTGGGGACCCAGGTCTTTTAAGGGGGCATGAGGGTTTGAGGGGGCCTGAAGGTCCATTGGTGACAAGTTTCCTCCCCAGGGTGGGTGTGCCACATTTCTGTGCCAGCCCCTGGATGTGCTGAAGACCCGCCTGATGAACTCCAAGGGCGAGTATCAGGTAGAGATGGGACTGTGGACTCCAGGGCTGGTTTGGGTTCCTGCCATCTACAGCCATGCTCCGGGCCAGAACCTCCCCACCCTATCTCGATGAGTTTGCTTCCCCCGGGGCATGGGGACCCCTCCAGTTGCTCAACTCTTGTTAGCACTTGCCAGGGGGCCGGGTTGTACTTTTCCAAGGCCTTAGCCTTGGTTTATACCAGATTTCTTCCACAAGTTAGCAGAGGAACTTTTCACACAGCCCATAGAGTCCAGCCAGCGCCTGGAGAGCCGGTCTGGTTGGTTCTCTCTGCGGTCCAACCGCTTGGCCCATGTGGCTTTTACTCTTCTGTTGATGTCACAGCCTGGGCCTTCAGGCTATGCCATGTCCCTGGGAGCACTCAGAGCCACCTGTGCCCTCTGTGCCTCCCAGGGTGTTTTCCACTGTGCGATGGAGACAGCAAAGCTTGGACCACTAGCCTTTTACAAGGTGTGTTGGTACGGTGGGGATGGAGGGCGGGGAGACCAACTGGGCCCAGTCTGCCTGGACCTCACATCTCCACCTCTGCTGTTTTCACCCAGGGCCTCTTTCCCGCCGGCATCCGTCTCATCCCCCACACCGTGCTCACCTTCATGTTTCTGGAGCAGCTCCGAAAGCACTTTGGCATCAAAGTGCCAACCTGATATCGCCAGGGACATGCGCGGCCACTGTGCTGAGCTTCCTGGAAGAATGGGAAGGGAGCAGACGCCCCTCCTCCTTGGCCTGGGCCCGTGCTGTGTCCCCCAGCAGGCTTCCCACCCTTGGGCTGCCTCAGCCAGGGCTTGCTTTAGCGTCCTTGGTCCCTTCCTGGGCCCCCTGCTGTTGCACCTCTGCCCTACTTGCTCCCAGGCTCTCCACATTGGGCTGTCTTCCCGCCCCATGATTCACTCAGGAGACCAGGTGTGGCCCAGGCTGCCGTCACTATCCCCACCTCTCTGGTCGCTGCCCTGCCCCGCACGGCAAGCAGGGAGAAGTTGAGTGCACTCTCCGCTCCCGCTGGCCGTTCGCTGAGCCATTTCCAGCCAGACCCTGAGTGGTGTGGCAGGGTACAGACCAGGGCAGCGTCTGCCACGCAGACAGCTCGAGCACCCGGGCCCGCATGCACTGCCGTCATGAGAGGGACCGCCATGTAGTGCTCTAGAGAGAGTGCCTTCAGGAGAGGTGCAGCCTGCAGCACAGACCACCAGCAAAGGCCAAGACAGTGGGGTCCAGAGCTGGTGCCTGGGGTTCCCACGCGGGCCTCCTGCTTGCAGGGTCGGCTGCTTTAGTCGTCATTTTCACTGACCCCTCCCACGCAGCAGCCGAGGCCAGCACCAGGAACTGGCTATGTCCCTTACACATCTGTGTCCTCCCTTTCCCGGCTTCCCCAGGGGGCAGAGCTGAGGCCATGGATTGTATGTGCTTTCCCGAGACTTGCCTCCCTGTGTGGCCGTGGTCCCCCTCGTTATCCCTCAGGCTTCAAAGCAGCCTGCCTTCCCTCAAATGAGGTTGGGTGGCTCTACATGAGTTTGGGCCTTGTGCCTGTTTGCCCCTCACAGTTCCCTCAGCACAAGGCCCTTGCCCTGGCCCTACCCAGGAGGTGGCAGTGGGCCCAGAGGCGGTGCCTGCTCTGCTCTTCGGGGTCTAATAAACGGCGAGGCCTGGGAGACCACGTCTTCCCTGCACGCCCCTCACCAGCTCTGAACTCTGAGGTGCTGGCTGTTCTTTGAGCTCTCGCTGTTTAGGGTGACACAACTGCCAAATTGGGGCGGGAAAACAGCGTGGAGATGGCCACCTCAGCCACAGTAGCGGGTGCCACTAGAGTCAGTCCCCAGGCAGCTGGCCAGCGAGTCCAGGAGAACCAAGGAGGCCCCGGGTCTACAATGAGTGGACACAGACTGAGGAGCCCAGGCTGTGAGGGCTGGGCTGGGTGGGAATATTCCAGGTGTGTAAGCAGAAGCAGGATGTCAGCTGGGGCTGCCAGGGCTACAGTTCTGGGTGTCCCCAAAGCCACCCTTATAAAGGTGGCTGGATCAGAAGAAATCCAGTGAACCTCAGGAGCCACCGCCACGGACTGTCACACCCTGGATGCTCTGGACGTCCCTAGGACACTGTATTTGCATAAACCACAGTGGTCATCTGCTGCAATGCAGTGTGGCATGAGCTGGAAACGTGAGAACCAGAGCCTGAGGGTTTTCAGCCTCCACTGCTGGTCAGACCCCATTTTGCACTTGCTGAGTGAGCGCAGTGGTGGCCACAGTCCCAGCCTTGCCCGTGTCCCTTCACAACAGGAAGGTCGCCCCAGCTGGCCTCAGACAAGTATGGACCAGCTTTGTGTAAAGGTTAGGTCTGTGAGCCTGGCACTTGGAGGCAGAGGCAGGCAGATCTCCGAGTTCAAGCCCAGCCTGGTCTACGAAACGAGTCCAGGACAGCCAAGGCTACACAGAGAAACCCTGTCTCAAAAAAAGTGGTGGCACACTCAGGCGGATTTCTTGAACTTGAGCCTGATCTAGACAGCAAGTTCCAGTCCAGGCAAGGCTACATTGTGTGAAACCTTGTCTCAAAAAAAAAAACCACAGAAGTTTGTACTGTGTGTGGTGGCTCATACCTGTAACCCCTGCACTTGAGAGAAAGATCGCTGTGTTCAAGGCCAGCCTTGGCTGCTCGCCGACTGATGTCCTGACTCCAGGGGCAGGTGGGTGCCTTGTGAGTGGTGCCAGGAGGTCCAGCTCTGAAGGCAGTGGAGAAAATTACAGTGTCCTGCCTTTTGGCCACATAATTGGATATGGTGACAATCATGGCTGCATCCTGGGTTGGCATCCCTCCCTGGGGTCTGGTGGGGTAGTGCATGAGAGTCACAGATGGGTAGGACTCTCTAGGCTAGAGGTCACTCATGCTGTTCCCCAGAGGAGCGGTTTCTCCAAACCCCAACCCAGTTCCAAGAACTTGCACCTAAACCGGAAATCATGGGCTGTTGAAGCTGTTCACGGAGCAGCTTGGACATGGAGCCCAGGATAGGCCTCTGTGGCATGGGGGCCACCGGGGAAGCTGATACTACACCCAACTACCTTCCTCTCAGGCTGCCTCACAGCCCCGCCCAGCAAAGCCTGCCTGGAGGGGAGGAAGTACCCAGCCTGGTTTGGTGGGGTTAGGCCTGGCAACAGGCCCTCCAGGGCAAGGTGCATAAGCTAAGGTAGGTACCTGCTTTCCCTACCACAAGCAGCTGCTCCCTGCATGGAGAAGGCAGGTCAGAGAGCACGCAGAGAGGGGGTGCCATCCCAGGGGAGGAGGGCAGCGCACCAGCCTTGCCTTGGGTTGTAGGCCCCAAAGCTAAGAGCCAGTGTCCATTTGGGCCCTGGGCTCAGCTCCAAGGCCTGAGCTGTCAGCACTTTTCAGTGACCCTTAGGTCTCTTCCCCTACGGAATGACTTTATGGTTCACCAATGACGACTATAGTAACCAAAGGTAAACAGTACTCTTACCAGAAGATGTCAGCAGAGATGGAGGATGTGCACAGAGGGAATCGGCTCTTCTGTGCTTGCCGTGTGCACAGGAGCGGAGTTTTCATCCTTCGGATGCTGGGGCGAGGTCAGCACAGGCCTGGTGGCCAGCAGCCAACCCAGTCCAACTGGCCGGACCCTGGTAGGTCTAGTGAGAGACAAAAAAGGTCTCAAAAAAGGTTGGGGGAGGGAGACGCTGAACATTGACCTCTGACGTCTAAACACGCACATGGGCAAATGCAGCCTCATAATCGTACACAAAGATCTTTCAACACGTGATGCCATGAAAGCTGCCCACACAACCGGGGATAGACAGGGTTTCCCTGTGTAGCCCTGGCTGTCCTGGAATCACTCTGTAGACCAGGCTGGCCTGGAACTTGATTTTAACTTTAAAAAAAAACTAAAAACCTCAGTATCGATAAAAAGGTTGCGTCACAGGCACCACACAGCAATCACAGCTGTGTGACTGGTAGCTGGTCTTTGACAAGACCATTTCTTTGAGCCAGGCTTGTGTGGGACTTCAGGCGATGTCAGTGCAGAAGGTTAAGTCCCAGGCTGTCAGGGCAGCTGTCTCTGCCAGCTAACTCTGGGGGAGTGTGGAGCCACCAGGGAAGCTCCCAACCTCCTGGATTTGAAACCAGGTCTTGCTGTGTGTTGTAGCCCAGGACGACCTGGTATTCACATAGCCCAGGTTGGCCTCAAAAAGCCATCACTCCTTTGGTTTCACTCTCCCAAACTCTGAGACTTCCGGCTCCCAGTTTTCACTTTTGTTCGGTTTTGTTTCATTTGAAACAGGTATCCTGTCTGAGTTTGGATTACTAGTGCTGTGATGTAACATCGTTCTCCAACACCCTTCATTATCCAAGAAGTCAGCAGCTGCTGAGAAGCCAGGGGCATCCTGCTTCCTAGCTTGCTCCCCTCCCACCCCCGCTGGCATGTCGAGCATGCTCTCTCATGGAAGCCAGAACCACCTTTCCAAGGATGGCCCCACCCATTGGGCTGGGCCCTCCTGCATCAATCAGCACTCAGCTAATTAAGAAATGCCTTTTTTATTATTATGTAATCAGTGTTCTTGCCAGAAGAGGGCACCAGATCTCAATATAGACGGTTGTGAGCCACCATGTGCATGCTGGGAATTGAACTCAGAACCTTTGGAAGAGCAGACAGTGCTCTTAACCTCTGAGCCATCCCCCCTGCCCCCTACAAACCCTTCTTAGGGAGGCATCTTTTCAGATGGGATTTCCTCTCAGATGACTCTATAACCTGTGTCAAGTTGGCATAAAATTAACCAGCACAATATCTTTAAGTAGTCAACAGGAGCCTTGAACTCCGGACCCTTCTGCCTCAGCCTCCGGTGTGCTCGGATCACAGGCATTTACCAACACTTTGACCAGTATAGTGTGATCAATAGTTTTAATGGGATTTTGTTGTTTTTTCGGGGGGAGGGGGGAGCTGGCCTCAAACTCAGAGATCCACCTGCTTCTGCTTCCTGAGTGCTGGGATCAAAGACATGCGCCGCCACCACCCAGCTCTGGTTTGTTCATTTGGTTTTGGTTTCTTTAGACAGGGTTTCTGTGTGTAGCTTTGGCTGTTCTGGAACTCACTGTGTAAACCAGGCTGGACTCAAACTCAGAGATCTGCCTGCCTCTGCCTCCTAAGTGCTGGGATTAAAGGCGTTTGGCACCACAGAGTGGTTAATCCTTTGTTTCTTCCTTTGAGGGTTTCTATCAAAGCATGGGTGGCCACTTGCTGTGGCTGGCCCAAGATGTGACAGCCTCTGCTGCCACACCGGACAGGTTTCACTTGTTTCTGCTACTGCAGTTTATAGCTAGTGTGTGTGTGTGTGTGTGTGTGTGAGTGTGTTTGCCACAAGTGTGCTGGTACCTGAGGAGACCAGAAGGAGTCAGATTTCCTGGAACTAGTCACAGACAGTTCTGAGTACTAGGGTACCCTGTCATGGGTAGTAGGAACTGAACTCGGGTCCTTTTAACCAATGAGCCATCTCTCTAGCCCTGTATCTGACATCTTGCCTGTGGGTCTGTGATCTGCCTAGTCCACCACACCCAGGGCTGTTACAGAGAAAGTCTGTGCAGAAAAGAAAAAGAAAGTTAAAAATGCCTTCCCTGTGTGCAAGACATTGAGTGAAAATTGTATTTGCTATAGCTCTGGCTGTTCTGGAGCTCGCTCTCTAGACCAGGCTGGCCTTGAACTCAGAGCTCTACCTGCCTCTGCCTCCCAAATGCTGAGATTAAAGGCAGGCACCAACATCACACCTGGCTTGATGTTAATTTTTTAATTTTAATAAAACTTATTGTGTATGTGAATGTGTAGATGAGGTGACAACTTCAAAAGTGTGTTTTATGTCGTGTGTGGGCGTTTGCCTGCCTGTGTGCCCGTGCACCCGTGTGCCGTGCCCTGGGGGCACTGCAGTCCCGGAGACTGAGGTTACAAAGGGTTGTGAACGCCGTGTTTGTGCCGAGAACTGAAACCCTGTCCTCTTTGAAGAGCACAGCAGGCGAGCTCATGTTTAAAAGCGCATGTTTAAAACACCTCTCTCAGAACCATGCTTGTGTGTTCCCAGCACACAGGAGCTTGAGGCCGGAGGGTTGTCTGGATTTCAGAGCAGAACCAATAAATAAATAAATAAAAAATTCAACTATTGAGGAGCTGAACACCCAAACACTCCTATTTCTAGGGGCAGCAGCTGGTGTCCCAAGATGGAGAACAGAGCAGCGAGTGCAGAGCCGGGTCCCAGGTTGTCCTAACCTGTAGCGCTCCGCCCTCTGTCCGCAGCTGCTGAGCACCTGTCTGCAGGGGCCCTGCGGGGCCTGGGTTCCCTCACTGTGAGGACATGCTCACTACTTGTTGCTCTGTCGTCAAACTCGCACCTGTCTCCAGGTCTAAAGTTATGAGGATTCACCCCTACCTTTCCTCTAAGACAACCCAAAAGCAAATGGCTGCACACTGCGGGTGGAGGGCAGGGCCTGTAGCATTCGGTAGACTGCTTCCCTGTTGAGCATACAATTTCCAGTTCCATCCCCAGCACTTGGGAGGCAGAGGCAGGTGGTTCTCTGCGAGTTCAAAGCCAGCCTGGTCTACAGAGCGAGTTCCAGGACAGCCAAGGCTGCACAGAGAGACCCTCTTAAAACAAGAGGGCTGGAATGTAGCTTCGTGGTAGACTTTGGGCTTACCGTGCATAAGGCTGCAGGGTCCACCTCCAGCCCTAGGAAGGAGAGCGAGGGAGCCAGAAGCTTCATGAGCCAGAGAGCAAGTGAGAGACAGAGGCAGGCACTGCTCTATAGTCCGACTAAGAGGCCACATGCCGCAGCACCAGTGACAAACTGACCAGAGTCCCTCATCAGCTTCATCTTCCTTAACTGTTTCCATGTCCAACTCCAGACCAGTCAGAAGCAAGAGTGACCAGATCACTGTCCCAGGGTAGACCCCTGCCTCCTGTCAGAATGAAGTCTTTGTTTCTCTGAGCTTTGGTTTGTTTCTGAGACAGGGTTTCTGTGTGGAGCCCTCTGCCGCTGAGATTAAAGGCGTGAGCCACCACCACCCAGATTTTTTTTTTTTTAATTTGTTTTGTCAGCCAGGCAAGATGGCACACACCTTGGGAGGCAGAGGCAGGCGGATCTCTGTTAGAGACCAGCCTGATCTACAAATAGAGTTCCAGGACAGCAGGGGCTACACAGAGAAACCCTGTAGGCACACTTATTTTTTTAGGCATACTTTTAAAAACTTTTATTTACATTTCTTTTATCTTTTTTTTCCCTACTCCACCCCAATCCTTTACCAACACCCCAACACCAGGTAGGAGAGAGAAAGGGTTAGTGGGAGAGGGGGACACAGTTCTTAGCTGCTTCCTGCTGGTCAGGGTCGTCGTCGGGTTCCTTGGAGCCAGTCCAGTCCTCGTTTCAGGAGATCTCCGTCTTTTTGTCTCACAACAGCAACCAGGCGTGGAAGAGGGAAAGCAGCAGCAACCTTATCCTTTCTCCCAGCTCCACGCTGTGTGCTCTGGCATTTATTCTCTCTCCAGAGTCCTCAGCTTTAAACCATTTGCAGCTGGCAAAGAGCTCCTCTCAGAGCCCACATGAGACAAATAGTTTGCTGCTGTGGCCCCTCTGAGTCAGCCCCACATCCCACACCTGGGACCAAAACAAAAACCCCATCTAAAAAGCCAAAAAAAAAAAATGTAACTTATTTATGTGCATATGGTGTCTTTGTGCAGGCAAATGTGCAGGAACCACATGCTGGGCTCCTGGGAACTGGAGTGGCCGAGTGTCCGGCCTGGTATGGCCCGGGGCCTCTTCAGGAGCAGTGTGTACTATTGACTGCTGTGACTGACTGTCCTCCAAGACAGACCTCACTTTACAAAAAGACCCCAGCTGGACTTACCGACCATTTACACCAAGGGTCAGGAAGAGGCCCAACACCCTCATCTGTTGTCTGTTCCTTAATTGCCTGAGGCTCCAGGGAGGGCTGAGGGAGGAGAGGAGGGCAGGGGAGCTGCCTCTGTGTGGTTGTGAGCATTCCCTCACCCCTTCGGGAGTCTGTAGATGGGGAGAAGCACCCCCACACCCATAAGCCACCCTCTCCCATGCTCTGCCAGGAAGCCCAATAAACACAGGTTTCTCAGAGGGAACTCTGGCCAAATCTCCACCGTTGAGGTTTTGACTTTATTATTTAGTTTTATTTCCAAGCTATGTGTGTGTGTTTGTGTGTGAGTGTGTGCATATGAGTGCAGGTGCCCACAGAGGCAGCTCCCTGGAGCTGGAGCTATAGGTACCTGCACACTGCCCGATGTGGGGCGCCGCACATCAGTTCCTGGCAAGAGCCGTCCTTGCCCTTAGCTGTGGAGCTAGCTCTCCAGCCCCTTCCTATTTTTAATACCTATCTGTCTGTGTCCGTCTGTCTGTCTGTCTATCCATCCATTTACTGTGCATGTGTGTGGGAGGGAGGGGTGACTGATTTCAGAGAAAGAATTTCCTGAGTGGGCTCTCTCCTTCTACCATGAGGGCCCAGGGACTGACGAGGGTCAGCTGAGGACAGGGCCCATTTTCCAGCTCTGCCATCTGTCTGTCTGCTTGTTTTTTGAGACAGAGTTTCTCTGTGGTCCTGGCTGTCCTAGAACTCACTATATAGAACTCACTGAGATTCACCCAACTCTGCCCCCTGAATTAAAGGTGCTCATTGCTGAGCCCAGCACAGCGTCTGTGCCTTCCAACAACACCTTCCTTACTGAGACCAGCAAACCATTCCAGAACATTCTGTGAGAGACCACACCAGGTCCGTGTCATCAGTTCATGGCTGTGCCATGGGAGGATTTCCTTGGGGTGGGCTGGCTCTTCCTCGATTTCTCCAAGAAAGCAGCCATCGAGTCAGTGTCCCAGGAATTTCCTTCGTCAAAGTAGAATTTAAAAGAAGAAATGAAAAACAAATGAGGTAGGAGAAGGCTGGGGCCTTCAGGAAAATATACCACACAAGAAAAATTAGTTCCCAATATAAAGAACGCTCAGGGAAGACGAGCCCAGTGGCTTCCTGTGCTCCCTGTGGCCTCCTCTGCCCCTCCCTCCTCTTCCTCTCTTATCTATGGGTGACAGGAAAGATCAGGAAAGTGTGGGTGCAGCACCGACCCCCATAGCCCTCTGTTGTCAGATGTCTCCCCCATGTCTAGAGGATGGAAGAACTACAGCACAGAGGTTCCGGCCTGTCCCTCCTTTCTCTTCTCACTAGCTCTCACCACACCCTTCTAGGACACTTCCTGGGCCATCAGAACTTTCTTCTTTCCTACAGGTGTGGGCCTAGCACTTCTGTTCTCAACCCGTAGACCCCTTAGACCTCTGGGCTACCAGGGAACCTTCCCTGGTAGAGGCTGGTCTGAATTCTTCTTCAGTGGTACCACCTCAGGCCTCAAGAGGTTTGGCCAGATGGAAGAGGTCTGCATGGCCTCCTGGAAATTCTTGTGCGGTATCCAGCAGAGAAGACTACTTGAGCATGGGTTTAAGCCAATACAAAGTTTTTATTCCTCTTTATTAGCCAGCAGGCATCTACACTGCATATTCCAGATCCCGATGCAGCCATGATCCTTTCCCAGGGTGAGCTTTTAAGCCCAAAAACTACATCCTTGGTTGACATAATTCAGTTAGTAAAAATAGTTAGCCAGAAGCGGAACTACAGAGGCCAAAAAGCAAAGTTAAAACATTTAGAGACTTCCCCAGAACTATGGACTAGGTCTTTGGGTTTGTTTTGACAGGTGGTGCTGTCTACATGCTGAGTTTTATGGCCTGAATGGTACTTCCATCATGGAGTCAGTTGTACTAAGGTCTCGGGGCCTGTTGCAGAAATGACTTGGGTGCTATTCTGCAAGTCACTCCAGCAGGCTCCACCAAGAATGTGCCCATCTGTCGGTCCTTTCTTGGTAAATAGTTTTAGAAAGGTTGGGGGCTCTTTCCCTGAAGCCTGTGGCTCTGGAGTTTGACTGGGCCAGCTGTGTCTGGTTGCCCCATCCAGTGAAGAGCATGAGAAAACTGGGCATAAACTGAAGAATTCTTTCACTTGTGTTGCTTTGGCTTAACCAGGATCTTTGCAGTCATGGGAGCTATAATTCCTTTCAAAGACAGAGTTTTACAACAGAACCTGTTTTTCACAACAAAACAAAAGATCAGCTTTCCTTTCTCCCCCCCCCCTTTTTTTATGTTTATATAAATTCCAAAGTGTGGTAGAGATTGGAATGCTTTTATTATAGTTATGAAGGGCAGTGCAGCCAGATCATTTGGAAGAGTCCAGAGAAGAGAGAGAAATTAGTGGGTGGACCATGGCCAGCAGCCTGGACCTGGTCATAGGAAGACGGGGGTGGGGGCACAAGAGGGGAAGAAGAGAGTGCCATGGAAGTAGATGGAGATCGAGGGACAAGCCCGAGGTGGGCAGGAGAGTGCCTAATGACAGCAGGTGATAAGGCAATGGGAAGCTGGGGAAGGAGAACTTCAGGGTAGGGGCGCTGAGAAGAGCTGAGGAGGGCCAGGATGCCAGCGCAGACTCTATAGCAGGCGCTTGTGGTGCTGAGAGAGCCGGGAGAACAGCGCCCACTTCAGTAATAAGCACCGCAGCCGTCCGTCCATCCTGAGTTTCTTTCAGGTCTCTCCCTGAGTGTCTTGAGGGCACTCCATAGACCAGGCTGACCTCAGCCTGACAGAGCCCACCTGCCTCTGCCGCCCAAGTACCCTCCCAAGTACTGGGACTGAAAGTGTGCCCGTGTGCCTGCCTTCTCCTTTTTGTCTCTTAAAGTTTTTTATGTATACACAGGTATTTCACCTCCAGGCATGTCCGCCTGGTGCCTGTGAAGGCCAGAAGGCTCAAGTCCTCTGGGACTGGAGTTGCAGACAGTTGTGAGCTGCCGTGTGGAACTAAACCCAGGTCCTTTGGAAGAGCAGCCAGTGCCCTTAACCACTGACATGTCTCTCCAGCCTCTGTTGCCCTTAGATGTCTGGGGATGTGTTCTCTGCATTCTGAGGCCTCTGGAGTTCACTGAGGGTCCTTGGTCCCTGACTGTTCCTGTCTCCTGTGAATGGCTCCATGTCTCCCACTCTGGAGCTGACAGGTCACTCTTGGTCTGTCCTTGGCTATCTTGGTCTGCTTTCCAGGGGCTGTGGACTCTGCTCTCACCACCCACTTCCGGTTCTGTAGCCTTTCCCCTCCTCTCTAGCAGTGATCACCTTTGTCCCTTTCAGGTGTTAAACAGAGCTGGAGCAACCCAATCTGCCCTTTGCTCTGACTCCTGAGGCTGTCAAAAGTCAAACCTAGACAGCCCGTAGCTCCTAACCTGTTTCGTTTAGATTCTAGCTGCAGGCAAGGACTTGCTGAGGGAAACATTCGCACTGCAGGCAGAAAAAGAACGAGGAAAGCAGGGCAGAAGAGAGCAGCAGTGATTCCAGTTACGTCCCCACAGGGAAGTCAGGGAGAGAAAAACAGGAGAGCAGCCTCATCCTTGACACCCTGGGAGAGATTCCGGCGGAGGGGATTCTCCTGTGGCCTGTGGTGGTCCCGAGCTAGCTGAGGCCTCCACCGTAATCCCTAAACTAGAGGCCAAGGCAGGAGGATTAGGAGTTTAATGCTCAGTAGTGCGCTGGAAGGCAGCCTGGGCTACAGAGAGCCTAAGGCACTGTGTGTGGGGGGTGAAGGGCGCTGGGGACTCTAGTGCTGGTCCCTGTCAGCCTGGTGATGGCTCTGCAGCATGGTGGCCCGGCACCGGTCTTCCTTACAGTTTCTTTCACTGTTGGAAACACCAGGACCAAAAGCAACTTGGTCCTGACAGTGCTGAGGGAAGCTGGGGATGGGAAGCAGAGGCCCTGGATGCTCTGTCCTTTGCTCAGCCTGCTTTCTTATACACCCAGACTCCCAGGATGATACAATGGGCTGTGCCCTCCCACATCTGTCACTACAGGCTTCCAAAGCATTCTCATAGTTTGTCTCCTCGGCTCAGGCCAGCTCTACCCCACAGCTGCTGATGTCCTTAACGGTCATCCCATGGTACCGGCATCTCCAAAATGCCGTGCTCTCCACTGCACTGGGCTGCATCAATGGCCCATTAGAGCTCTTTCCAGGGATCCTGACCCTGCCACACAGTGCCAAGCCCCAATTCTCTCCAAGAGCCTTTCCCTCCTGGGGCTCCTGAGGGAGAGCGCCTTCACTAATGCTTGCCTGACTTCTCGGTGCCAAGCCTCAGCTGCTCCCATGGTGCCTCAGACCTTCAAAGCCAATACCATGGCACTCACCTCCAATCCCAGCACTTGGGAGGCAGAGGCAGGAGGATCTCTGTAAGCTCAAGGCAAGCCTGGTGTATAGAGCCAGTTTCAGGCCAGCCAGGACTACAAGATGATAGTCTGTCTCAAAAAAATATTACTTGGGAAAACCTTTTACCTTGCCAAGTTTGGCTGCCAGCATGAGCTATGCCTTTACCTGCTCTGGACCACAGCTTTTGTGTGGTTGCCCTGAGGAAGGACTCCCTGATTATGATCCCAGCAATTCAGGCCTCTTTTTGTTTAAGGTCTATTTTGTAGATTTGGCTGGCCTCAAACTCACAGAGATCCATCTGTCTCTGCCACCGAGTGCCGCTGGCGTTGATGGCACGGTCTGCCCAGAATTCTTTTAAAGATTTGTTTATTTTGTAAGTGTGGGTGTTTTGCTTACATATCTGTGTGCCATGTGCACGCCCAGTCCCTGAGACAGTCAGAGGAGGGCACAGTGGGCCTCAAAACTGAAGCTATGGTTGGTGTGAGCCATCAAGTGGGCACTGAGATTTGATTTGGAAATTCACATTTCCCAGGGCTGCTTGGGGGCCCCTTCACATGTTCCTCCCCTTCCCTTTGGCTCAGCTGTTTGTGGTCGCACCTGTTGTCCCGTCCTAATGAGAAGTCCCATAAAGCTGTCCCACCGCCCTCGTTGTCTGGAGCCATGATGATGGAACTGACTAGAACACCGCTGTGAATCATCTGGAGGCTGAAGCCTTGCTGGAACTGTCCCCGGCAATGGAGCCTCCCCTCACCAAATTAGCTAAACTTAAAATGCTTTCCAAATAACAATTATTCACCCCAGAAGACTGGGCCAGATCCTGGTGACTTTCATTCACTCCATGGGGGTGGTTCTAAGAAAGAGCAAGGGTCCTGCAGTGCCCTGCCTGGGGCTGAGGCCTGAAGGAATAGAGGAAATCAGAAGAAACTCCAGCTGGTAGCAGCAAGCCCTGAGGAGGGTATCAGAAGGGCTGTTCCTGACAATAGGCAGAGCCAGGCACCTAGCCAGGAAGTGTTAGGGGCTCTCGAACAGGGCGGAGATGGGAGTCAGTCTTGGCTAGTACATGCATGCGCCTGGCTAGCTAGCAGTTCCGTGGGCAGTTAGTCATGAGCAGCCAGCTGGGGGTGGTGGCACACGCCTTTAACCCCAGCATTCAGGAGGCGGAGGCAGTTGGAGTTCAAGGCCAGCCTGTTCTAAAGGAGCTAGTTCTAGAACAGCCAAGTACAAAAATAAAAGCTTTCTATGCCGCCCCAGCTCTGAATAACGACACAGAGACCCTTAATTTCATTATAACTTTCAGGCATTATAGCTGGGCACACACTCAGCTATTTTTCTTCTGTCTGCCTGCTTCTGCCTCCTTGATGGACGCTCAGCTCCTCTAAGCCAACAAAACTGGCCTGGCCTGCTTCCCCGTGGCCCACTACCCGCCATCTTGGTCTCACTGTGGCTGCTCCTTCCTCATCCGTGTCCCTTTTGTATGTACCCTGGTCCAGACTGCACCAGCTCCCTAGGCACAGAAATCAACATTTGAATGCACAGTGCACAGGACATCACAACAGCCAAGGCTGCACAAAGAAATCCTGTCTAAAAAAACCCAAAGCAGGAGCTGG